TTCTTCTGCCTTCTGCTATTGTCTTTTTACTGTTGATGTACGCCGGATAGATGCACATAAACCTGGTGGGGGAAAAATATATAAATAACGCGTGTGTGTGTATGTGAATATAAAAATTAATTTATATATAATTTTAAAACATATTTAAAAAAAAAAAAAATTCTATATAATCAATGCATATTTAGTATAAATTCTTAAATTATAATAAATTTCAAAATTATATTTATAAAATACATAAATATAATACATAAATATGTTATAAATAAATATAAACAAAGTACATATTCATTTTAATACTGTCTATGTGAATATGTGTTAAACTGTAATTTATTTCTGTGATCAAAGCTGTATTTTGTGGAAACTGTGACACATTTTATTTTCCAGGATTCACTGATAAACACAAAGTTCAAAACAACAGCGTTTATTCGAAATAGAAACGTTTGTAACATTATAAATGTCTTTACCATCACTTTTGATCAAATTAATGCATCCTCGATGAATAAAAGTATTAATTTCTTTCTTTATTTTTTAAGAGTTTTATATCCCAAACTTTTGAGTGATAGTGTTTCCACAAAATATGAAGCAGCACGTCTGAAAATTCAGCTTTTCGTCACTGAAATAAATATCAATTCACATATAAAACAGTATCCTTTATTTAGTTTTTTCTCTCCACTGTGTAAAAACTAAAGAAATATAAACGTGCAAAACACACTATTTCTATTTTTATTTGAACATATCCTTCCCCTTTCTTTTTCATAACCCCTAGCATAATTATATCTGTATGCACATCATCTTGTTTGTACAGTGCATACGTATTTTGTCTTTTTATTTGATCAAAATGCAGTAAAAATGTGATATATTATTAGAATTTAAAACAGCTGTTGTCTATGTGAATATGTGTTAAGCTGTAATTTATTTCTGTGATCAAAGCTGTATTTTGTGGAAACTGTGACACATTTTATTTTCCAGGATTCACTGATAAACACAAAGTTCAAAACAACAGCGTTTATTCGAAATAGAAACGTTTGTAACATTATAAATGTCTTTACCGTCACTTTTGATCAAATTAATGCATCCTCGATGAATAAAAGTATTAATTTCTTTCTTTATTTTTTAAGAGTTTTATATCCCAAACTTTTGAGTGATAGTGTTTCCACAAAATATCAAGCAGCACGACTGAAAATTCAGCTTTTCGTCACTGAAATAAATATCAATTCACATATAAAACAGTACGTTGAAATTAATTTACAATATTCCTGTTTTTACTGTAGATTTGATCAAATAAATGCAGCCTTGGTGAGCACGCAGAGAGACAAAAACACACATATAAACTCTCTTTTCTTTTTTAAGTTATGTATTTTTGCTGTGTTGTTCTGGAAGTTTCACCAAGACACATGTGACCCTTTTATGCCAGAAATCATTAGGATATTAAGTAAAGATCATGTTCCATGAAGATATTTAGTAAACGTCCTACTGTAAATATATCAAAACTTAATGTTTGATTAGTAATATGCATTGCTAAGAACTTCATTTG